AAACTACCTTCATCAGGAACGGTTGGTTACCAATATTCCCTCATTCACAATGCAATAAATAACTGAATGCTTCAGTTATGTCGATTTAGGTTGAAAAGATAATTTGACAAACGATTTTGCTCTGGAATTGTACAGCATAAAGCGGATAGTTTCGGAATCGCTTGATAGCATCAAGGATATAGTGAAGAGATCAAAGAACGCCCGACTCCGTGTCCACCTTTTCAACTCAACGGATATCTCTGCCATAACGTACTCCTATAACATAGTTGCTACTCATGCATGCTGAAAGATCACTTGGCGTCAATGACGGTGCAGTCTATAGATTGATGCTGGGGTATTCTTATCCTGTGGGGTAGAATCCAGAGATCGCTCATACGTCAGTGATCGATATTTAAAGGAACTATTCTACACACCAAGCTGTCGAAGATGAGATAGGCCGGAGACATACTACGTTTCAACGACGGCCGATGAATAAGAGCTGATAACTAGATTTTCTTAAACGACAAGCGTACTAGAGAAACAACAGAAACCTAATTTTTCTAATCCTTAATAAAAGCATGAGAAATTATCTGACATCCAACGATCTGAACGAAAGGGCTCAATGGTTTATCCTTTGAGCGATAACGGTAAAACAGGAGGTATATTAGCGCCCTCTTAAATGGCTTGACTATCAAACGGAGATAATCGCTGTTTCGCACGCATTGAGAGCGTTTACGCGTTTTCGCGCGTAAACGCTCGCATTTTTCACAGGACCGAACTCCTTACTTAGACCACAAGAGCTGCTCCATGGCTTAAATCTCGAAAAACTTTGAAATGTGCTTGCATCTTACGTATGTTTTTTTTACAGCGTTCTAGCTATAAAAAGGCTGGTGTTTCACAGAGGAATATATATCTGCAGGACAAAGCTTTTCCTCACAATAATAATTCACCCATGGCGTGAGTTTCGACGAATTCAACGCTTCTCTTTTTTTTTTTAAAAGGACCGCTTCATTGTACTGTAGCAGGGGAAATAAAATTGAGCTTCAAACATGCCGCGCGTTGATTGACTTGCTGTGCCAATAGTCGTGGATCAATAAGCGACTAATCGACCACGCAGGTGTGACTAAGGGGCGTAATGCGGCTTTGGTTTTAAATTTAAGATGTCTTCTTTGTTTTGACAAAAGCAGATAAAGCATAAGACTTTGATCTTACAAAATGCTTCTCCATATTCATATGCTTTTCCTGCTTCAGGTGAAGCATAAGCGCGATGATGATGAATGCGCGCAGAGTCTTTGAAACATGATTTCGTTTCAAATGCTACAGCGCTACTGAAAGGCGTTTTCAACGACAAACACCTGAAGCATCTCCCGAGATTTAAGCTTCAAATATTTATCAGAAGTGCAATGGGAAATTACAACGAATTTGGTCGTTTTTTCATTACCTACGAAAAGCCGAAATGATCTCCGGAGAATGCAAAATGGAGAAAACGGTGAGTGCTTGAATAAAAACTGTTCGATGTTAACCTAATTTGTTTACCACGTCTTTTCCTTTAAGGTTATAAAGGTGTCTGATTGACTGGGCGCAAGTACAAAATAGCCGAAACGTCGATCATTGATATATTATGTCCTCTCAAAAGATCTGGCATTGGATAAACAATAAACACCTAATTAATTAAGAGAAGTAACAAAATTGCTCGGCCACTCTATTCAAGTATGCGCCATCAGCCTGAACACATTTCTGCTATCTCTAAGCAACAAATCAATACCGCGCTCATAGATCTCGTCATAATTCGAGTCAAAAAGACGAACTTGCGCGAACGCACTTCGTGAATAAATGAGCTCGTGCAAAATCCATCGGTCCTTCCACTTCTTGTCTGCTGCCTCACTATTGTGCTGACTATCCCATGAACACAATAAAAATCGTCGATCAACTCCTTTAGTCAAAGTTAGATTCTCTTAGATTGCTTCATTGTCTATCTCTCGACCAACTTCGCGTGGACGTTCGAAGCGCAGCAGGTCCTTCAAATTCGTGATGCCAGCACGAAACTCAGCAGAGAACCGGAACGCTGCACGCATGGACACAAATCTTTGTGCCTTGCACTGTTGTTGTTCTCAAAGGCAGTCTGTGCATCGCGTCGCAATTTGTACTTGTAAAGCAGCAAGCTGCAGTGAAGGCTTCGTTGAACTACCATGATGCGGCAAGTATTGACATTTGGTACCAAAAGAAGACTGAGAAAATTTCGCACAAAGCTTTATACACCACTGTCTGGGAGATGGCTGAAATGTCTTCAGGCTGATGAGGTAATCGGCAAATTTTGCTATTAGGCAATTTGATACTCCTGGTTAACAAATTGTGTTCGACAATGTATTTCAAGCCTTTCCTGAGGCCTGTTATGGGCATTTACACTGCGCAGACATGTATTTCGACGTTCCAGCCTCATTTGCGCGGTGTTCTTTCGTCCAGTAAGTTCCTCGGATATCTACCCCTACATAGAGTAATCGGCTGCAAACTCTTTTCAGACTCGACGTGCGGTGAAGCAGTCCCCATGATGTTCTTTCAGAGTGCTCTCGGAGTGGCAGAGTAAAAAGCTCAAAGTACATTGTCCGATTATATTGCGCTTGAGCGAGGTTTCAAAATAGTCGGTTGGACCGATTGTTGAATTTGGTGTTTATTGCTCTAGCGCCAGAACTTGCGAGAGGACTTGCTATTATATTGAGTGTGGTAGTACAAGATTCCCATCAGAGTAAAACACAAGTTGAACTGACATAGCGTCGATTTTTCGCATATCACCCAGCATCTTTGGAGCATGCTTAGAACATTATAATACTGCTATATTAGCAGCTGTTGACAAACTAGTGCTTGAAATAACGTGACATTGCGTGGCACATTAACTGCTGCTAAGTTGGTTGCTGAATTAGCTTTTTTAGATGTACCCTAAGAGAAATAGAACTTACTCTTTGCCGTAAATGCACACCAAGGTGGCTTTGCGCGTCCCTTTAAATTCTCGACATTCAAATATTTCGCAACCAACTTTTGTGGCGTCCTTTCTTGTCTAAAGGCAGATAGTCTCTCTTTGCCTTAACAATTTTCCTACTTATTTAAAAGCAAGTTTTTTACTGAATTGTGTGTTCCTTTCAGGATTCTCTCGACAAGCGCTGACCTTACAACTTGTAGCCTAGCGTTGTTGCCGAGAGCAACTCTGCAATTCATGCGTGCAGTACAGAATTTGATTCAACTCTAACGTCCATAAAGACACTAATTTGATTTCCATACCGCTCAATTGCATGACTCTCAGAGCTGTTTGTGAGCGTTTTTGGACAGTTCGTACCTGCCTGCTCAGCTTTCTTCTCCAACTCGCAGTCCCACTTCTAAATGAATGAGAACTAAAGAGCTTAATCCGTGTAATTTGATCCAAAGCATTTTTTTCTTTGCAATCGTGCGAAACGTAAACACTTGCATCATAACTCGACGTCGTCAAGGAGCAGAATGCTCTCCGAAAAACTTGAATGTAGCTGTTTCGCAAAAAAAGAGGAAATTAGAGTAAGGAAAAAGCAAAAGCTAAAAAATAATACCAGTCGTGTCCTCAATGTTTGATTATGTTGTTGCAGTACATAGTCTTTCTTTTCTTCATCTGTTCCATTGCAAGACTGTGAATATTCCGAATAGTTATCCTTTTTCCTAAAAGAAAAATCTGTGAGTCTACGATGTAAAGTTATCAGAAGTACTAACTCCATGATGACTGGCCCACTATAATTCTTTATTACCCAAATACGTAATCTGGAATGAATAATTTTGCACCATCCTTAAACAACAACTGTTTTTGAACAACACCTAATTAATTTTGAATGTTTATCACGAGCTTTTGAAAACAGTCGATCATATGCACCTAATTTGTCTGCCAGCTTCTAATGTGAGTTTATTCGGGACTGTTTTAACTCCAATGGGCTCCTCTTTCTTGGCTTAAGTTTAGACTTGAGGGCGCTGAATTGCGAAATGACAGCTGTTGGAAGCTAATGCTGTCGAATGAAAGCTTTTTTGTACTGAGTCATTCATGTAATAAGCATCTCTTCCTTTAGCATTTTTTTGCAAACATTTTGTTATAGAGCTTACCTATAATTGCTTTGAGTTGAAGTTGTCGTAGGCGCAAATTCGTTTGTTACTCATGCACGAATCGGAGCGTAGGGGAAAATGAGAGTGAAGGGCCGCTCAAACGCAGGAATAAAGAAGCTTTTTGTGGACGACCCAAGAACGACTGATCCTTCAACATACTCTCTACAGGTTTTAACCTTACGAACCAGTTCCCAGCCGTTCCTTCTAAGACTGCATGATCTCCTCAAGCTCCATTATTCTTGCACGCCGATCTCTGAGATTTTTCCCTGCGCGCCACTCGTGCATGAGTACCAAGGGAATCTGTTTCCAAGACGTCTTCATCCTAAAGCAAGTATAGGCAAGTTATATACCACAATGTTCACGACAATATGCGCACCTAAACAATATCAAAGTCATGAGCTCTCAAATACTTCTGATGGATAAATTCAATGTTTGATGCTATGAAACTGAACTTCTGAGAGCACTTAATATAATGGAAACAGCAGAAATACGGATTTGTAGAAGATACTGTCTTGAATGTCAATCTGTAATTAGAAGTAACATTAAGGCATCTCTCGATTTCCATTAGTCGCATGGATGCAAACGCTATTATAGGACAACAAGCAATACATTTTCAGTGATTCCTCCTTGCCCCTGTAACGTTGATAACAAGTCCTCACATCAGAAACGCTGTGTTGCATATTCCCCCATTTCCGAATTCACTACGAAAAATTTTTATTTCGGTATTTACGTTGAAAGTTGCAGCTCATATGCTATTGCAAAGGCGCGTTACCTTGACGTCAGCCATTTCATTGGACCCTGAGAAGCTTTTTGGATGCCATATTTTCCGGAATTCTAGTATTTTTACTGCTTTTTGGCGGTATTGTTATGTTACATATATACCTAAAAGATTTGAGTGGTGAGCACAAATGCGTCCTAAAACAGGAGTCGAACCCACGTATCATCCGCACCGGGGGAAAGGGGGGGGGGGTGGGGGGAATGCGTGCTACCACTACATCATCGAGGCACAATTGCGCTACCAACGAATGAGATTCTTAAACATTTCTATGTTAGCCATCAGTCATAAACCTTTAAGTGGTTATTACAGGTTAACAGGTCAAATACTAGAAATTTGGAGTATTACATGTAACAGTGGCTGGCAGTTCAACTAGGCGTATTGAGCGAATACCCGACCAAAACTTCTAAAGGTTGGTGGCTGATGACTAACATAGAGATGTTGAAGAATGAGTAGTGGCGCACATGTGCCTTGGTGGTATAGTGGTAGTAGCACGCGTCCCCGGTATGGATGGAATGCGGGTTCTATTCCCATCTGAGGCCGCGTTTTTGCTCACCACCCAATTTTCTTAGTCCATATCATCTCAAATTTTATTATAATAAAGATATTTAGTGGCTAAGGAAAGGATGGGGGTAAAGCTTTGTCTAACGAGATATAAGCGCGAAAACAATAAAAGCGCGGGCACGTAGGAAATATAATTTTATTCTAAATGCTACAAACTGTAGGAAGGATCTCCTTATTCGAAAAAAACAAGTGCATTTTCCAGTTTACCCAGTGATGTTGAATGATTTGCAAAGCTTTGACGTCAGGCTGGACTCGATTCCGTATTCCACCCTTTGCGAGGGCGCTTCCATAACCAACTGCCCTACCGGCGCTTGTTTTGCAGTCCTTCTTTTTACGCTAGAACATATCAATCTGCTAGTAACAAACAGTCATGGATTCGGCGGGAGGCCATGTAGTCCTGCTTTACTTGAAAACTTTGCATACAATTTACTATCATTGGGTATACCTGTAGCTTTATATCACCGTTAAAAAGCGATCAAATAAAGATATATAAATATTTGACCATACACTATTCGAATTCCAGCATTTACAGTATCTAATAATCAAAATTATTTTGAGAAATTGCTCTGTCCAACGAAATTTAAGCGTGTTAATAGTAAAAGCGCGCGGCGTGTGTGAAACATAGTTTGATTTCAAATGCTGCAACACTGTAAAAGGCTCTTCCGATGAAGGTGAAGGTAGTAGCCTCCTAAAATTCAAGCTTTTCATCAATTATTAACTTTCTCATGAAAACTTTTGTACAGTAAAAAATTCTCACAGCCCATTTCCTTGCAGCTAGCAAAATTGCGGTTTTGCTTAGATAACATTTGGCGAACAATTCATTGCCCAGTTTCTTACCGAATTATTGCCACTATAACTATTTGAAAGCGTACAACTTACCCGTTGCTGTAAAAACACAGTAAGATTATAGTGTGCATGTCATTGGGTTCTGGGCAGCCATCCATTCCGCACCCAAAGCGGGATATATTCTCTTGCTTCATCTACTCAAATAAAGTTTTATCGTCTTCAAATTTTTATATATTTTGAAATTTACCACTTCACTTGCGTTGCTTTTCCACCAAAGTCGTGTCAAATTCTAATAGTATGGCTCCCAAACTTTGACAGTGACTCTGAATTGATAAACATTAGGCGTAACTACTGATTGCTAGTTTCCATCCAAATATACTGTAATCGATACTTTTCGAAGCTCCAGCGATTTTTAAAATTGTTAGGAAGCGTTGATGGGCATCCTACAACTGTAAGCTGAGCCTTTCGCTCCAAATTACAGTCCCACTTCTGAATGAATAATGTCTTATGAAACTTTGTGATATAGCTAAAGCGTCTCCCAAAGAGGATCAATACTGTAGATGATTCGCTTAACAAATTCAAACAGCAAAATTAATAAGTCTTTAGTTTGAATAGAGTGTGCGAAGTAATAGTGAAAGTGAGCTCCTGTAGAAAATGAATGATAAAAGACTAAAAGATCAAATACCATTTTTATTTTCATCCTTCGGTTATACCTCTCTAGCAAATATTCCTTCATCTCATCATCTATCGTTCCATTACATGTTCGCAAAAGTTCTGAATCATCTTCATTTTCACTGAATGGAATGTATTTGATGGAACGAAGTTATCAAAATTTTCTACTGATTTATGAGTGACTCAATATAAGTCTTCGTGATATTTCTAGGGAATGTCACCCACACACGCAATCAATAGAATTCGGCATTTTTTCAACTCTAATTCAGAACAACCATTCTTTGACGGTTGGCAATCTGCTTACTGATTGCTGGTGTGAGCTTATTCCCAACAGTTACTCCTTCAATCGTTTGTTTCCTTTTAGCTTAAGGTGTGTTGAATTGCGATGTGATCGTCATCGAAAGTCATCGCTGTTCAGTTAGAGCTATGCTTGCGCTAAGTTACTCGCGTGATAACCATTTATCTACCTCCCATTTTATCACTGTTACATACAGTGAGGAGTTAACATATGGTTCTTTTCATGCAGAAGATTACATGGATATGGCAAGATGTCTAAAAAGAAATTCTGATCGGCCTTCTTGATATCGACTAAATGGGAATGGTACGCAATTGTGGATTTGGGGGAGGGGCTGATATTTCTAATCATGGAGGGTCGTAGCCGATTGAATGTGATGCTAATCGTGGTGGTGCGGGAATGATCTCCGTCCCCTTACTCTCGCCAATCTGCGGCAGTCTACAACGAAAGCCCTATGGAACGCGACAACCGAGCTATCCTTGATACTGCAGAGAGACAAGCTCTACGAGTATTCAACGACATTCGAGAAGAAGAGAGGAATTGAGTGCTATTATTACTAGTATCGCAAAGGAAAATGTGACAACGGATTGTGTGAATTAACAGAAACTTTCGTGCTGGTAATGCCTAATCAATATTGAAGTTAAGGTGGCAAACCGTTTTTGGTAACGACGTAATTGTAAGCATATCCAGAACACCAGGTACTCATTTTCAGCTAATCATTCATGCGTGTGCAGCGCTGAGCGCTGAGAACAAGTTAGTGGCAGCAGAGACACTGTACTGCGTACATCTCCGTCTAATTCAATAACAAAAACAGTGTTCTTCAACAAAATATCTTTTCTGATACAGTTTACATGTGATCGCAAAAGCACACGAGGTGGCATAAGGCGTTTCATTGGTTCTGATCATTTGCCACTGCGTAACTCACGTTTTAGAACCTCATTCAAATCATAAGTTCAGGTATGAAATACCATTTCCTAGACCATATACATTCTCAGCAAAAATACTTTATCTTGTTCCCTACTCCTATGTCGCCAGTATACATCATTCAAAGCGCCATGGACCGTAAGGGCGCGTGTGGCGCAGTGCTCAGAGGTGCTCGCCGTTGTGCACGAAGTTGGTGGTTCAATGTTGCGCTCATGGTTCACCGATTCATTCATCCCATCGGGTCGGTATACTGGCATCACACTTGCGTTTATAAGTAGCGCTGACTTAATACATCGGTAGGCTACTGCAAACGCCGAGAGCTTTGCCCTTCATAACGGCGTGACTAACACCGATAATACCTAGATAAAGTAATGAAAATTGAGGGTGTGTTTGTGTATCACTCGACAACTTTTTTATGATTTTCTGCTACAGGTACTGTTGGCACTACTGGATTCTTTTTCAATCTTGTTCTTTTCTTCAAAGTGTTATTTGCAAGTGATAAAGATTGCCTCTAAATAGTGTGTTTGCTCGCTATGATTTATCGAAGATTCTTGTTGTTAATTTCCATCGAAACTTTGGTATTCAGGTAGTAAAACTCGCTTCGTGTTTGATTGCTTGTCCGTCCATCATTTAGCTGACCTTCATTCATCATCACCCTTCCTTCTGGCTGCAAAATGGACCTGGAATTCTTTGTATCTGTGAGTTCTCCGGGATTGCGATAGAGCATGTAGAAACCTAAAGCGGTGCGCGACAGCTATTCACGCAGTCCAAATAGTGCAAAAAAAATGTTTATCTCACTTTTCCGTGCTACTCGACACCTCGTACAACGGGGTAGAACGGTGCTGATTCGATTTTTTTTCACAACGTAATTATCACAGCAAAAAACGTTCAGTCTAATATTTCTCTACTTCTTGATACAAAACGTAGATCCATGGGATAACAACGCGTATCCAACTTCCATCCGCTCTGAATGACAATGGTGATTTCTAATGTAATTCAGTTTGGAATGAGAATTCATGTCTAAGTCATCTACTAAATTGTTTGCTCTAGAGACATTTGCTTGTCCACTTCACGTCTTTTCCAACAACTTCAATGAAAGCATCTACAATAGCATATTATGTTGCTATAAGTTGCAGATCGTCAACGAGCTTCTTCGCGATGGACGGGGTGCTTAGTGGCAAAAAGGAATGAGACAAGAAATGATGGCCAGGCTGGAGTTAGAATCGCAGAGGAAGTGCAGCAGACAGTCCGGCCTTGCCAGTTAGACATACAGAGAGTTATTCCCATGCAAGACGAAGGATTACGACTGATTTTAATTCTAAGTAGTACGTTATATTCTGCTGTTACATGACCATAAATATGATCATAATTTCAAAATATTCGATTTTAGCAAATCGTTCATGGCATTGTAGACCAATTTCTTGTTGTAGACAAAATAATAATTCTAACGAAACAGTGTTACCTGGTCTTGTTTTTGCCATAAAAGCACGCCATAGTGACACTGATCAAACTATCAGACATTGGACATTTTACGACTGAGCAGCCGACGCTTATAATATCCTTTCGTATATCTAATTGATAGAAAATGCTTCTTGTTCGTTTAAATATATTTTCTGGAAGATTTACCTTGGAAAGCTCATTTCTATACGACCAGGAGAATAGTATTCGCATCAAGAGGACATTCCGACTAACATTTGCGGGCACTTCAAGTTTATCACTGAAATGTTAGACGTGAACATATTGTTTGCTTTGGCTTTAACAAACTCTGGTGATAACAGCAACTGCATACTAATCCCTGAAGATCGTGTAGTTGTTTGATGCGTTTGGAGGTTTCGCTGGGCATCCACTGACCGTCTGATCGGCTTCTTTCTCAAGATCACAGCTGTAGCTCTAAATGTCATATCATTGGGTTGTTCTTTTCCTGGATTATCCTCGTTACTATCCATTATGTATGTAGGTCTGCGAGTGACCTGAAGCTGATTGAACCACTTAGGTTTGTACTAGCAGTTATTCAAGTGGAGGTTCATAGTTGAGCATACCGATGGATTGCTATGAGACTATACGCGTACTTTTACGTTCATAACGTGCTTCTAACGTTTGAGGAAGAGATGCGATTTATACTAGTATTTAATAAGCAAGGGCTTTCAGAAAACACTACTTTCCGATTGCTCTGTCGGTGTCAACTCTATAGTGACGAACTTAAATGCTCTATAGATGGTCACGGCTTTTTAGTCACCGGAGTACCCTAGAATTAGACGACTTATCGAAGTTCAAGGGATCTGACATTTCTCCCTCCCTTCT